TTACACAGGAAAGTTCAAAAGACACGTTTAAGTTTGTCGAAAAAGTAATAAACACGCTAAAACAATCAGCAACACAGCCTCCTGGCTGCAACGGTGAAGACAGCTTCACGGCAAAGCACTAAAGTACAGCTTGCGACTTGGTCGATCGCTGTCAAGCCAATCTCTGAACTCGACACTACTACTGATCTACTAAGATATTACTTCCTCCCGGGACAGGCAGGGAATATAGAGCTTTAACCTACCTTCAAGAACATTCCCAAGGAAAACCGCTAAGAAAGCGTTCCAGAATGTTGTATCTCCATCTATGGCATATCGCTAAATTTTATCGCCAAATGGGCAATTTCGCGCCAGATCTGACAATCTTGCTTTTGCTATTTTTTTGGTAAACCTAACATCGCTTTGCGGGGAAGCTATCTTAATGCAGTTACGGCATTTCAAAACAATATGTTTAAATATTTATCAGACAAAGACCGCCCACAAGAATCATGCTTTGGACCGATCTTGTGGAACGCCGCAGTGGATGGAGCGCTTAATCAACTGAACAGTCTCAACTGTAATATATCTGCAAAAGCATATGCAGACGATTGCTCGATAAGAGTAGGGGCAAGTGCCAGATGAATATTAGAGAGAGGAGGAAATCATGCGTTAGACTGTCTCATGAACTAGTGCTCCCAGTATAAGCTTATGCTCTAATACGAAAAACCAGTTGCCATGGTGACTGGAAATCCCAAAACCCTAATCAGAGTTCCAATTTTTCCAGATTAAAGAGCACTTAGTCAAGATAAGTAAAACATTAAAATATCTTGGAGTTATTTTAGATGATCCATTCTACTGGATTCTGCACATAGAAAGAATGAAACATAGTACATTTCGACTGTTCAACAGTCTGCTCTGGATGATATGGAAAACCTGGGATATCTCCTCGACACTTCTAAAATGTTGTATTCCACTGCGACGGTGCCAATCGTCTGCCATGGAGCATCAGCTTGATGTACCACTTTATATGCACATAAAGTCATAAAATTCTTAGCTTGCAGAGGCGGATAGCTTTCTTAATCACAGCAACATAGAAGACTGTACCGACAAATGCAATACTCAGTCTTGCAATCTTGAAACTACTATCTGGTAGTGCAAGAAAGGCGCATAGCTGCAAAAGTTTTAAGTTGAAGAGTAGACGTCATCACACACGATGCCGCCTACCTGATCACTAACTGTGAGAAGACAATACCAACGGCAAAAAAACCCATCCTGCATGATATAACCATGAGGTCTGTATGAGTGATAGAGTAGAAGGGATAGCAGAATTTGAAATATATTCAGATGGATCAAAATTAAGGACAGTACAGTCAATGCCTTCTCCACGAAGATGAGGAATAACTATATTTTTCAGTGATAAAAAACTAAAGAACTTAAGTCTGTCTTTCAGGCAGAATTATTCCCAGTTCTCAAAGCAGTAAAGTGAACTCTTTGGAATGAAAACTTTGGAATATGAACAGACAGAATGTTTAGTATTGAAACTATTGGCTCCTATGAAAATTAGCTCGGATGTGTTATTAGGAAACTTCTCCTTGGTAATAATGGTCTTATTCCCTGCAATAGAACAAAGCGCACGAAGGGAACGAAGGAAATGAAAAGGCGGACATGTAGGCAAAAGTAGCAACAACATGACATACATGTTGCTGGTTACAGGACATATTCCCAACCCAAAACCAACATTAAAAATAAATGCGAACAACAGCTGGCAAAGGCAGTGGGATACAGAGATTAAAGGTGCAAATAATCCATAACTATTTTTCATTACTCTCTTCAACTATAATATCCGAAAGCTCAACCATAATATCCGAAGCTTGTTGACACAACTGTACACTAAATACTGTTTTACACTAGCCAATCTACATAGGTTTGGCCTTACAGGCTCAAACCAGTGTCGCTTTAACAATTTGAGACATTACTTATTGGAATGCACCCTAACACAGGATATACCTCTCTCAGAACCCTTTGAAAATAGTCTTCAGACCTGGAGAACTCGACTAGTGGAAAATGAGAAAAGTGTAATGGAAGCTCTTAAGATAATGGCAAATATAGGGTCCGGCAGAAATAATCTATTACATTTCAACGGTTGTTAGCTCGTGCGGCCCTGCAGTGAGATACAACCGGGAGGAGTAGAGCGGAGAAGGAATGATTCGAGTTTAGTTACAATGGAACGTTGGACCAAGACGCATCGCGCTTTTTGTAATTGAAGCGTATTTCAAAAGTAGTGATAATATGGTAGCTACGCAGTGGAAGTTTCGACAGCAGTTCAGTTTGGGAGATATGGGAGAATACCAGAATAGCACCTAATTCGGAGATGGATTGATCAATTTTGTGATATTGCAATTGCCCCAAATAAGAACTTATCGGGAAAGGCCTAGGACAGTGCGGACACCAGAAAACTTTGAGTGGGTAAGAAATGCTATTGTCCTAGGCGTTGAGTAAGTAAACATGCTCTAGTTTTACATTTGTCAAACAGAAGTGTGCGCCGCATTCTCTTCAGCGATTTAAGCTATCATCCGTATAAAATGCAGCTGAGTTATCCGCATCCCGAAAATAATTCGGTACAGAACTTATCGACGTATTGAACTAGAATAGGGATACTTTCCCCAACTTGATTATGCCAGATAAAGCGCACTTTGGACTGACAAGAAAAACATGCGATACTAAGGTAATGTGCAACCACAGAAACTCCATGAAAAACCACTCCATAGTGACATGATGACAACGTCATGTACAGTTTTCGCAGGCAGAATCACTTCAAATTTTTGGGACATCCCGTGGCCTGCCAGATACCTCGATTTGAGAGGTTGTGATTTCCTTCTGTGGAGATCCCTCAAGAGCCGAGTGTTTGCATCACGTGTCCCCAACTCAGAGAATCTACAGCGTGTCATCAGTGAAGAAATCAAAGCAATTCTACCTAAAATGATAATGGAAGATTTTTCAGGGACAGACGATTTACCTTCATGCCTTTTCCGGGATTAGAACCCGGGCTCTTCGATACGACAGCGGGAGTGACTAACCACTTTTCTGTATGGCTGCATGACGGTGAAAGACTAATGGATAATTTCGTTCGTCGAATCCGTCAGTGTATTATAAAGGACGGATGTTATCTCACAAATATGATTTAAAAAAATAAATAGACATAAAACAAAAAATGGTTTTATGTTATGTATGAATTACCACTCTCGTCCTTTACAGTCTCTATGTAGTGTTACAGTAGGACCCTATAATAAAATGATGGCTTGCTTCTGCCGGACTCTTAACGCTAATGCTGATAATATTTAGGCCTCCTTTTGGATAATATAGTATTCCTATCTCAGAATTGTCTATTGCGATGTGAATTGCTTAATTTCACAACTTTTAAATTGTAATGTGCATATTTTCCTCTAGTTGTCGAAGCTATTATTTTGTAAATAATATATAAATAGTTATGTGAATTATTATTTTGATACTTGCATATATTTTGGGCACAGTATGTGATCCTGTGAAATTGATGTAAATAATATCCTATAATTTTTAGTCCTTATGATATACTGTTCACATGTAGCAACACAGGATTTCAAGGTATTTCCTTCGAGGACCTTGTATGCCCATGCAACTCAAGACATTTGTTTAAATTATGCCGCTTGTCCTCCGGGCTTTGGCCGTGATATACACATAAAAATGTTTTCCTCCATAAGACACGCAATAACAGCTTAAGCATGATAGCAGGCCTAGTGTCCCAATAGCGGTTTTCCCGACCGATGCAAGACTCCCCCCCCGGGTGTTGATTTAGGAGAATTCCTGGGAAGTACTGATTAGAATCTGTGCCTAGGCAGTCTCAACCACGGGGGCATATAAATTGTCTTCACAGGACTAGAACCCGAGTATTGTACTTAGGTTGGTTCATGCTTGGCATGGACCGTACTGGTACTATCGTGTCTGTTCCTCTGGCTGTGGTGGAGCGAAATAGTAGATAATCACGACCTTCTCGATGTGGAATTTGGCCCTTATAGTCCCAGTGACGGGAACTGACGGAGTAAGGTAAGGCACCGAAGCGAATTTATCTCTGCGAGGGAGTGATGCCCCGAGGCAAAGATGGCGTAGCGACGATTTTTTTGTATTTAGTTTCAACGTTTTCGCCCTTGTTGAAGCTACGTATAGCCGGGAAGGGACTGTGATGTCTGCGCCGCCACTGAGGGGTCATCCATGGCTTGGATATCCTAACTTCGAAAGGTTTATTCCAGGTCGGAATTCCAGGTCCTGGCTGTGGCAGACCTGTCCCAATAGCGGTGCAATTAAAAAAAGAGATAGAGTACCTCGGGATTTAGCCGGCCAGTTTTAAGTCGGGTGCAGAAACATCGGGCAAAGATAGAAATTAACTTTTTTACTTATTAATTAATTTAAACTATTAATAAATATTCATTAATAATTAATTTAAACTATTAATTTATTTAATTTAAATTAAACGAATTTAAATTTCGCTTTCAATTATTTTTAATGAAACTGATATCTTTGGAATTAGAAATATTTATTTGATATTTTATGATATAAGTGTTAAAAGCTGCATTTTATCATTGGTTGGATAGTACAGAAGAATCCCTCTTATGCAATCACCTTCCTAGGAAAATCACCTCTGAAACAGATCAGTATTTCTTAAAAGATGACTACGCATCGGTACTGAAAGTCAGCTCTCTAAACCAATCTTCTTTACAAAGACAAAAATCATTCGAAACCATGGCTGATAATTTTAGTGTTTATTGTATTTAATTTTTAATATCATAGTTCCTTGTTTTTAAAATTACTTTAGAAAAAAAGATAAGTTTTCTTTACAAGCATTCAAATTTAATCAAGGTAAGAGAATGATTTCCAGAAAATTTTCACCATCTAAAGAGTCACACACAAATTTATATTTCTTAATATAAAAGAGAAATTTTATTTTTTATGTATTTATTTACTTTGTATTTATGTATTAATTTATTTTATAGGAAAGAATGATCAGAGAGATCATTCGAGGAAAAGAAGAAGACGTTATTTCTTTAGATACTGCAGCACAAGAAATGACAGAATATATTCAGCAGTTGGAGCAAGACTGCGAACTGCTTGCTCAAACAATTGAACAAAAGCAAACAGAAATACAACAAATGTCAGATTTCATTAACAAATTAAATGTAGCAGAGCGTTATGATGATCATGCAGGGATTTATCCACAACAATATATGGATTATTCAGCTTCTTCCAGAGATATACAAGCTGCTCAGCCTTCCCCATACATTAGCACACCACAAGAAAGACAGGGACTTATCACTGTTCCAGGAAAACAGAAAAAATTCCGCACCCTCCCACAAAGAGAAAAATGCTCCATATAGACAATCCAAGTTCAATCTGAAGTTCCCATTTGTTTGCAACATATCTCTAAAGTTCAAGACGCATTAGGTCTTTATAACAAACAACTTTTATACTTTTCCCAACAAGACTTTCCGTTGTACCACCATAGAGAAATACCTGGCCATCAGTTAAAAACAATATAGCCATAAGAAGATTTTTTGGTTTATCTCCCCGGTCAAGATTTTCCCCTTGCTTCAATGTCCCATCCAGTAAATGTATCCACAAAATGTCCACTTCCTGGTTTCTAGAGACCCAAATCGAACAGAGCACGGATCTTTTTCCCCGAAGAAATAGAACATATACGGTAGTACACACATACCTTCAATGTCATATCGGATCAGAAGCCCTTTCAGGTGGGTAAGTCTACAGAGACCTTTTTACTATAAACCAGTCACAGTCTGATCAAACAGTGAACTTATTGAACAAATCAGCAAATCAGATGCATCAGTTATAAATTTTGATATAAACAATGACTACACGATTTTCCAAAGACAAAGATTCAGGACCTACGAACCGGACTTTACGGAACAATAACACATTGGAGACTGAAGCAGGGCCCCTTTTATCAAATATTACGATATTAACCAGATGAACAAGACTCACGAGACAGCAACTTACGGATATACACAAAACTCTCTTCATCAGAGGACTTAAAACGAATTCATCATTTTAAAAAAAAGAACAACATTGATAACCTGATACTGTACAAATAAAAAAAAATAATAAGGCAATAGAAATGAAAAAACTTCTACCATGTAAACTTTTAACCAGTATCATAATTAAAAAATGAGGAAGGGAAATGAATCGCAACCGGTTACAATCAAAATATTGCAGGCAATAATAAAATTGAGTAAAAGTTATATGGAAAGTTTCGCACCAATTTCCCGAGGAATAAAAAGTAATATAACTCCAAAGATAAGCAAAGTATTTCGAAGAATGAGGAAGGGACATTCGCAACATCCGATTTTTTTTTGTTGACCAGAAATTGTTTAGCAGGTTTCCAGACTTCGCACTAGTAATATATCGCTGATTGAAAATCCTTTGAAAGTACATTTTCTAAACTAGTTCGATTCTAGTTGAATCCATCCCTTTTTTTTCATATCTAAGCCTTTGAAACTCGAATTAAAACTTTTCACAATTCTGTTCATAAACCAGGCTTCAAGGGGGCACAATTGGGTGGAAACTAAGGATTAATTTTCAACTTGGATCACTGGTTTTTTCCACAGTAGAAAGATATTGAAACCTACATTCCTGCAGATTCTTCTTAGTTCGTTTTTGAAAGGATCGCTTCCTCAGCGGTGTAGCTAGAGCTTCTGCCACTAGTGGCGATCCATTTGTCACCGAAGCAGGCACATCAAAAATCTAACAAAATTGTCAAAACGACATTTAGTCTGAAAGGAATCTCTTCCTCAGTTCTGGGTTATATTCTGAACTTGCAAAATCTCTACATGTCCAACATTCTAAAACTCTCTTTTGTTTGTTTTTCTGTAAACAAAAGTCGGTCGGTGTTTCATTCCAGAAATTTGCGGTTCTAGAGACAGTAAAATTTCTTTAAAATTCTTCATCGTTTTGTACTTGGAAAATTTCCACTGGCACCAAGTAATATTTATAGCAGTTATGAAGGGAAAGTCTAATCAGAGTAGAGCTGCATTCTGAAGATTGCTCTTTAGAATTAAACTGAAAAAAATTTAAAGCTTTCTGGCATCAGTAGTGGCCTTAATACTGGAGTTTCCACCCTGTTACATATTAGGTGAGTGGCTGGCTGAAGGTTGTTTTTAGTACTTTTTCCTATGTATAATATGAATACGAGCCTTAAAATGCTTTCCAAGGCATCCTCTTCTTAGACCGAGCGCCCATTGTATGCTTTGCATTGTATTCATATAACTTAACATTTCAAACTTTCTATTCCATCTTCCGTAGAAAAAACAGAAATAAAATTCTTAGATACTTCTTTCTAAGTAAGAAAGAGCTTTTACTTTTCCTTATTCATGTCACTGCGATCATAAATTAATTGATATTCACATAAAGCTCCGATTTAGAAAAAAATCGTAGCAAGAACATGAAATCGCTGAAATCTCGTTGTGATATCTATGTTCATCGTGAAACAATTTTGTCCTTAATTCAGCATATCTCGATTTTTCACCTCACTAATTATAGACTTTGGCTTATATTCAAAAGAACGAATGGCTGGATGACAGTTTTCTTGTCTTACACTATGTATAACGTGACTCCCAGACATGTCTCTTTCGTAACGTAAATAGGAGCAATTTTCAGTTTCGAAGCCTTCTTGGAAACTCCATAAAGTTATTCCTTTTCGTAGGCAGAAGTCTTTCCGCAAGCGTAGTAAGCGCTGTATTAACGTAAAACAATCCCATTGGTTCTTCCTGATTTTATGATCCATATGATTAATGTCTATAACATATTATACTTCCCTCCAAAAATCCAACTCCCAAAAATGTGCCGCTCGTAACAGATCGCCGCCTTTTAGCTAAGCCAACCCTCTTTCCAGGTAATTGTTTTTTTCAAGTATTGCGCACCAAAGAGACGTATGTCATCACTGAGTCTAGGCTACGTGCAGGATATTCTAGCACTCGCGGATCCATTTCAGACAGCAGAAACATGTAGCTGGGCATAGTCCTAAATGAAAACTAATGCTCCTTGAGAAATCCGTGTTTTCAGTTCTCACTGTCAAGGTGTTTACAAAAAAGTCAAAATTCGTTGTTTGTTTGTGGGTGTGCGATGTTAACAATGGACATTGTCCATAACATCAATGAATAACCACTAAAACATGTTTCATCGAATACTCACTCGTTACCTTTGTGACTGAGTTAAAAATTATGTGGTTAATTATTTCATTAGTAAATCTATATACTGTAACATTTCTGTAAAATTTATGCATTCAATGCGACTGAAAATACGCAGAATTTATTTCATTTGAACTGCCTGATATTATTAATTATTTTTCATCAAGCTGTACAGAAATAAAACGCTAACGGTTAAAAATTTCTCAACGTATGTATTTCAGCAAAAACACGCATAGATGCCTGATAAATAAAGCACGGTGGTTTATTCTGAAGGGTGGTTTATTCTGAAATTGCTTTTTGGGTTTAGTACGGATGTGTGGTCATATTCTTAGAAAATTGTTGTATTTACGTTCGTTGGAATCAATAGGAATGACAAGCGAGAAATACGCTGCAATACTGTTTTCGCTCGTGGAATCCTGCATTTCCGAGGAAATTTTACGAGTTTTGCTTAGAAATCATGCATCAATAATTTCAGCAGAAAATTCTCACTCTAAGAAATTGAAACAATTATTGTTGCTTTTAAAGAATGAAGTGCAAGGAGAGCAGAGAATTTTTTTGGAGAAAGCTGGATTTAAATGAACTGATTCGGGTGCAAAGAAAGCAGAAGGATTAATAAGTACTAGAGTAATTATTTTGTGCCTACAGTGAATGAGTTATTCTCAGGCAATAACAAAGGAACCAATTATGGAGAAAAGAATTCTCGCATATTTTGCGAGAAAAATCATAAAAGTCGAGATTGCTTTGTTGCTCAGAAGAAGACTCTGAGTCAAAAGAAAGATGAAATTAAGGAAAGGAAGAGTTGCTTCTTCTGACTCAAAATTGGACACAATGCCAAGCAATGCAAGACAAATGTACATATTTGATATGCTTGAAAACGTACTTTATCATGGGCAAGATGATTACATTTCAGAAAGAATCTCCTTGTCCATGTCTTCAACAATAACGTCCATGTTGACTCACAGCAGTGACACAGAAAACTTGTGAAAGCTAGAAGCACTGGGAATTACAGATGCTAAGGAAAATAAAACTGATTCAGACTTAGAAGAAGCAGTATGGGATCACTTTCACAAAACTCTGAAGAGAGTGGATGATCGATATGAAGTCAGTTTACTTTGGATCAACGATACAGAAGCTTTACAAAGTAACAGAGAAATTGCTGGAAAATGATTGATTTCCACGGCAAAGATGTTGAAAGATAAATTTGACATATACAATGAAGTGTTCGAAGAGTGGTTCGAATCTGGAGTAACAGAAGGAGTACCAAAAGAAGAGGAACTAGTTAATAATCATCTTCCCCACAGACCGGTCTTCAAAAAGAAAACTGTTCAACAGCACTAAGACCTGTATTTGACGCTTCAATGCAATTTCAATTCAATCAAAAGGATTTCCTGTCACTTAACCATTATCTAGCAATAGGTCAATATTTAACTAAATTTGATACCTAAATTGCTTCTTGGATTTAGATAAAGAAAATAGGGACTATCTCAGAGATTAGAAGAGCTTTTCTTCAAATAGCTGCTAAAAGTAATGATCGTGATTTTCTATGATTCCTGTGGTGGAAAAATTCGAAACAAAAGGAAATAAGAAAAAAGAAAATAAGAAAATTTCGCTATTGCAGAGTAGTCTACGGACTAAAGTGCAGTCCTTTTCTTTTAGGAGCAGTGATCAACTCTCATTTAGACCATGTGAACCTTCTTTGAAGGAAGTGGCTATAAAAGTGATTTCCCCTTCCCTTTTACACTCCTTTGAAAGTTATACTTGCAAAAAAGCTGAGAAACTAAACTGAGCTGGGATGCAGAGCTATCTGAAAATATCAAAAGAAAATTATTGAAGTGGGTCAACGGATTGCCCTTGTTGTCATCCATGAAGATTCCCAAACTAGTTTCACTGACAGTAGGACAATCCTTTATGTTTATATATGTTATGCATATTTTTTTCGATGCTTCACAGGGATCGTATACAAGTGCGGTATATTTGAGAAATTAAAATAAAGAAGTCAAACTGACTCTACTGCAAGCCAAAGCAAGAATAGCTTTCTTGAAGAAAAAACAAATATACCACGATTTGAATTGCTTGCTTGTCTTATTAGATTCGATTAGCCTCCTTTATCAAGATTCTTAAAGTCGAAATTTCAAGAGAATATTACTGAACCGATTCTTCAACAACACTTGTCTGGA